TCAAAGGCATTTTACAGATGCTTCCTCACCTGTTCTGGTCTTATTTTCTTAAGTTCTTGCATGTCTTTGATTTAAATATTTATTCAATGTTTGTCATTGTCTTTTTTTTGTTTGGATTTTTGTTTTGTAACTGAAGCACTGCTTAGCCCTGCCTTCGAAAAGTGCTGATTAGAGTTTTATTTGCTTATTTAGGCTACATCCACACTACATTTTAGTTTAAAAATGGTGTTTTAAAACAAACTATCTTCATCCACATATCAAGCAAAGCATTAGTTCAGGCAGGCAACGAAGTCAAGCTCAGCTCACAATCCCAGTGCATCAGCAGATAGCAGGCCATGTCAAGTCAAGCCCACATCAGCGGACTGCTCAGCTGATTTCCCTCTAAGCATTCATTGGCAAAGCCAAGAGCAAAGAGACTGTGGTGGAAAACTGACTGTGAGTCCTTGCAAAGAAATTCAGCAACATGCACAAGTGTTATTTGCACAGTAGCCTACACAATATTTGAATAAAATACCAATAAATAAACAGTAGCATTGTGTTTTTGCTTTGCACTGATAACACCCAATGAAGAAGCCAAATGTAAGTGTCGCATCATCGTTTTCAAAGTCCTCCATTTTAGCCTGTCTGCACTAAAATGCTACCCCGGAGGTTTAAAATGAAAACGGGCTCAGCAGTGTTTTCAGACTTCTCCATTTTAGGTCGGATTCGGATTCACCCTTTTTAATTCTGGACGGAAGGTGCAAACGATGCAAAAGTTCTGCGTTTTAAAACTCAAACGTAGTTGTGTGGATGTAGCTTTACTTACTGGTCTGTATGGTGGACATTTGAACGCAGCCAGGACTGACAGTGTTGTAGTTTGTACTGGCTGCCATTAGATGTCACTAAAGAGTCCATATTACTGATTGTTCTTTGAAATCTGTAAGATTTTTTTTTTCTCAGACTTTTAGAGACTCCTCCTAAGACCAGTTGTCAGAACATAGTTAATCCATCAGTTCCACAGAACCTTTATTAGAGTTTAAAATTAGAGGCAATGCCAAGCGTGACTAAAATACTTTTTATTTTGTTGCAAATTTTTAAAAATGTGCTTTTACTGCTATACAGACACACACCTTCTCAGCTCCATCAGCTTCTTTGTTTCGTTGGTGATGTCGGCTATAGATCATAGCGACCAGCAGCAGAGCGGTCAGAGCCAGCAGGGAGATGCCCACAGCGATGGCAGTCTGAGTGGCAGCTCCGAGAGCGCTGAAGGCCATGCTGCCCAGCGCGTACAGGGGCTCCCGACTTACATCTGAGCCCAAAGCAGGACCATGGCTCCTTAGACGGGCCAGGCTGGGGAATATGGTGAGGACACCTGGGACCATGAGGCCCAGATGGAGGAGGAAGAGGTGGAAGTGGATGAGTTGATGGCAAGCTGAAAGGTCACCTTGGCCACGCCCCCTGCGTTCCAGGCTTCACACTCATAGAAACCTGCGTGAGCCACAGTCACATTACTGAGAAACAACATGCCACTGCCGGTGTCGGGGTCAAAGCGCTCGCCGTCAGTCTTCTGCAGATTGACTCTGCTTTCCTCTGAGGGCTCCTCTGCTCCGCCCACTCTTCCTCCTCCAGCACCCAGCTCCTGAACCAAGCCTCTCGGAGAAAGCACCACTTTACTCTGTGACGCCTTCCGCCAGGTCACCTGCAAAGGGATTCACCATTTCCTTATCAGAGGTCTTGCTAAGAAGGTTTTTATCACATAAATAATAAAAAAAATGGACTCATGTAACATCTTCTGTCAACCTGAATTGAACAGTCTGAGGAAATTGTAAAAAAAAATTCAAAGCTAAAAATTAACTGAAATAGCCGCATGTCATCATTCTGCCACTGGTGGTTGAGGTGGTGTCGATGTGGGCTTTGTAGATCATTGGTGGACTTTCTGGAGAAGACCTGTTTTGATTAGGAGAGACAGCACACTTTGGATGGAGCAGCTCTCAAATCTAGAAATCTAAAAGAGTTTATTAGTGGATGAAATCCATGAAAACCCAGAGCTGAGACCAGGGCGTAGAGTGGCAGTCCTACACCCTTTCTGTGCCTCCATTTGAGCAGTTAACCAGCCAAAACTTTATAGAGGAGCTGTGCATAAAAAAACACAAATTAACACCCCTGCTGCAAAAGTGCAACAAAATATAAGAATTAAATGTGGACTAATGTTAGCCTAAATGAATCCACTCCCCCAGTCACCTTAATACTCACATTCCTTGAGGCACCGGCTGAGGAGGTGGAGTTGCAGTCGACTCTAGCCTATTAATTCATTCTAAATTAAACTAACTCATTAGAAAGCCTTGCTCTTAATCGTTCACACCCAACATGGACACTATCCATGCCAGTAAACTGAGGAAGAAGGCTAGAAGCATTATCAGGGTTAGGGTTACATCCTGGCCACTTCTTGTCTGAACAGGTAAAAGATAACATCCTGCACCACCAGACTGAGGAACAGCTTCTTCCCCAGAGCTGTGTCCCCCATCATACCTCTCCATGCACAAGACAGAACAGATTACAGAAACTGTGAGCGCACACTACCTAATTCCCAGCAGTATTCTTGCCCTGCTGTCAGTTGGCTTTTTTTTCAGTCAGCAGAGCAGAGAGGCTGCGCAGGCGAAGGGAATCAGGTGAAGAATACTGACCACTGTAACTGTAAGTACGTTCATAAAAACCTTTAAGAGTAAAAGCCAATACCTACTCAATACAGCTGTCCAACAAGCAGGAACACGTTAACACGTAGAAGTGTATATTGTGTGGTGAGCCACATGAGACTGACAGGGGTGCAAAGGGTTAACCCTCCCCAGGTACTGAGTGAGTACCTTTTGGCCAAACAATGACTGCTGAGAATGGTGTGTTGAATTTCCCTATTATTGAGTGGACGTATCTTCAGCCAATCCGTGGCTGTCGGAAGTGGAAAAACGTCTCGGGTTACGTATGTAAGCCTTGTTCCCTGAGAAGGGGAACGAGACACTGCGTCAGTGACGCTATGGGAACGCCTCTTGGCGTGGCAGGGCTGAACATGAATGAAACTACTCCAGTCCTATTGGTGTTACTAGAACGGTAGCGTGTGACGGCGTTACTGGAGGCGTATATAAGCACGCCGGCACACCGGACACATTAGCCCTTTTGCTTTGAACTGCATCGGTGACGACACTATGGGAACGAGATACCCACTTAGGCCGCGCCTGCTCCCCGCCTGCCCCCCAGCATAACCCGTAGGCACGACTAAGAGGAGAGCGCACGGGTGCCGGTGCAGAAGGAAGGTCCAGACTGTAAAACCGGATGAAAGTGTGAGGAGTGGCCCAGCCAGCTGCCTCACACAAATCCTGGAGCGAAGCCCCTACGAGGAGGGCCCTAGAGGCCACCATGCCTCGAGTAGAGTGCGCCCTTACGGCCATAGGTGAAGGTAACCCGCGCACCTGATAGGTCAGGGAAATAGTCTGAACAATCCAGTTGCTGATCGTGTGTTTGGAAGCGGGGAGCCCAGCCTTGGGGGACCCGAAACACACCAGCAACAGGTCTGCTTTCCTCCACCGGGAGGACCTCAGAGTGTAAATACTCAGTGCTCTGACTGGGCAGAGCAGATGAAGTCTCCCATCCTCCGCCGTCACATGAGGTGGGGGATGAAACGCCTGCAGCACCGTAGGCCCTGCCAACCTGGACGGAACCTTAGGGACATAGCCCGGACAGGGTGCAGGATGGCTCTGACCCTCCCCGACGAAATTCCAGGCATTGA